ACTTTGGTTGTTATAAATTTATGCTATATTATCACAGTGATTAAAATATTTTATTTTAAACAAAATCAAATAAGTGAATCAATCAAAACTATAACAATTTTTCAGTTGATACGTTTGCTGTGAAATTTTATCATTTAGAAAATGTTTGCTTTTAGAATTACTGTTCTATCAATCGATTAGATTCATTTAACATCTTTATAATGCATGAACTTATTTATATTGTCAGATACATCTTCAATACATAACTTCTTCTTTTCTAATGACAGTATAAACGCTGCATGCCATAAAAACAGCAAATTTCATAGTACTCCTTCGTTAGACAAAACTCAACATTTAATGTCAAAATTCATCGAGAGAAACCATGATGTGTACCTGAGCTCAGTGAACGATTAAATCAATGTGTACAATAAGCTACTACCTCCTTTCCTTCTGTTGCTAGGGCCTGGTGAAGAAGTGGTATAAAAACCTTGATTTAAGCTGACAATTCATGTTTTCTTCTAAAGCATACGTAAGTTCTACAAAAATGCCGAGAGTAAGTTTTTTTTTTGGCAATACTTGCGGCAAACACCCATAACAATTTTCGTTTTGTCCAGTCTAGTCAAGTCCATGTTACATGATCTCTGAAAGTTTTGGGATCTCTAATGAAAGCTATTTCAACACATAATTGAAAAAGAGGTGGTTTGATTTCGAGTCTGTTTAGTATTAGACAGAGCTATGAGCAATCTTTCGAAAACACTTACGTTGACATTGGTTTTTGTTGGCTTTGACTTGCTTGGTGATTTCATGCAAGGTCTTGGCCAAATTGAAAATGGTTGGTAAAGCTTTAGTGGGATCCATGCTAATAATTGATCTAAAATATCTTTCTTTTGTCACGTCTGCAATGGAAAAATGAAAAGCTTTAAGAGCATCTTAATTATGAGTAATCAACAACTTTTCTCCTTCTTCACAAATGGAGGATATGGATGCAGGTTTAGATGGGTATGATTACAGCATATAACGATCTATTCGATTCCAATCTGAATTTCAAGGAAAAAGAACAGCACTCGATTTCAAATTGAAACGGAGCGAGGAGAATTCAGAATTATCTATTATAATATACAGCAATTTAAGTAATTCTAAAGCCTCTATTTGGCCTTCTAGTTCCACCATCCAAAAGAAACGGATGTATAGTAATACCCGGTTTACATAGGGCAATCCAAGAGTAGTGGTAGATATATTGTAATTTATTTTAAAAAACTGAAAAATAATTTTCTATCTGTATACTCTAATAGTAAAAACAATCCTCTATTCTTCTATAACATTTGGTTATTCTTCAATTAATAGCATAATAATAAAATTCCAATAGACTCTATTTGGTCATGATATATGACGGTTACATTAGTTCTTATTGTCTTCGATATGTATTCTCCTTTTTCTCATCTCTACTAGTCGTGCTTTATTTTCAACCTCTTATCAACTTTTACGGATCTATTTAAAACATCTTTCAGTTGTCCTAACGGAAGGAGCTTCTTCATCCCAAACCGAACATAATTCATCATGCATAACTATTGCTTGAATATTAAGTACAATGCACACTTTAATATACAAGTGAAAATTTCTTTTATTCATCTAAAACAAAGATAAATAACGTCAAGGTTTCACTTAACTTCACTTCTTTAACTTTCTTGCAAACAGTCTACTAAGCTACTAATTGAAACAAAATAAAGAGGACATGCGTCTTTTCATACGTATGTGCATACGGTTAGACATTAAAATGAATGAGAAGAAGATAATACATATCGTAGACACTATGAACTAATGTAACCGTCAAACATCATAACTGAACAGTTTTTATTGAAATTTTATTATTAAGATATTAATCAAAGCATGATCAAATATCATAGAAAAATAGGATATTGTTTTTACTTTCAGACTAAAGGGTGTAACATAAGCTCTGATTCCTTTTTCTAATAAAATTATTGGAAAAGAGAATCACAACTTATGTTACACCCTTTATATAGATAGAAAAATATCTGAAGCTGGTAATAAGGAATTACAATACCTTTGCCACCATTTTTTGATTACTCTAAGTAGTTTTACTTCAGCTTGCTTTTATGCAATGTTGAAAAATGCAGTCGATCAAACAACATACAACTACGTCAGTGGCAATAAAATGTGTGTTTGACTCGTTCTGTTCTTTTTCTTAAGAAAAAATATACAAATGTCTATCGTTATAATATATGCTTTAATTGTCAATCAAACCAGACGAGCAGCAAATGAAGGCTAACAACCCACATTATGCTTCGCCATAAGGTAGCAAATAAAAGAAAAACTGCCGTAAAAATTTCGAATCCTGTCGAGTTACTCATCCCGCACTCGTCTCCCATTAGCAAAGAACAGAACAACAGTCGTTTTTTTCTCGTCTTTTTTCGTATTTCGAATCGTTTACAACATTAATACGTCCAATTGGTACATGATTCATCATGAATAACCAGATCATTCACGATGAGGAGTGTTGGTGTGAGTGTATATGATTCACATAAAAACAGATAGGTCTATCTCTTGACGAAGAAGACAAATTTAATCTACTAGTCTCAACTCTTGCTTGTCAATAATCGATCCAGCCGATATAATTCCAAGCATAGACAATATGTTTAATAAAATACTTATTTTACGGCTAGACATGTGTATCTTCAATAACAAACAAAAGATGATTATTTTCATTTATTAACCCTTTGGGTTCTGGCTTTTTTTGCGAAAATTCAGGTTTTCATACGAAAACTTTAAATATGATGTTTATTTATTTTTTGAAAGACATTCTATTTCTGTGTCAAGGAAATATGAGTAGGTCATTTACGTATAATTGTCTTCAAGACAATCAATAATACATGGGATGACTTATACTACCCATAGGTAGAACAACAAAAGGGAATGTATAATGGTTATAGCGACTACAGATTCCTAGGATGATTTCACGACCTTAGTCTATCATCTAACAGATAAAATGTTTTTCTAAATAATCAAACAATAGACTAGTGACATGTTTGTTCTATAACAGCATCCATACGTATTTATATATCGTCGGTATTCTATACCCCGAATAGCAAGACGTATATATATGTCGTCGAAACTCAAAGGATTAAGTCGATAACGCAAGCAGTTAGCAATCTGCACATGATTTCCGCAAGAAAAATGTATCAAAATGATCTGTAATTCCGATGATATTTTGGTTTCAACATGTGTTTTAGATAGAGAAACTTGAGATCTATAGTTCAAGAAAAAATTTGAATGATTACTTTCTCACATCCTAGTGTTGAGCAAAATAAAATAGTGTATCTGTTCAGTCAAGTAATATGGAATTTTGTTGATCTTTAAGCAAATCTTCTTACTTGTTATCAAAATTTGCTTAGAATGACAGATCATTTTTACACATTTTTTTTTTGAATGTTTTACGAAAATCATTGGCTTCAAAATGATTTTGTTTCATACATTATACGAGAAAAAGACATTCTCATATTTTCTCTATCGATTGCTGAAAATCGTGAACCACTAGCTGTCTTCATTTTCGACTTCCGTGCTGATAGTAGTTTGTGTTCATTTAACGTTTGATTTTATATTACAATGACAATTGGAGACTATGTTGAAGTTCAAGAAAAACAAGTTTATGATTTATTTAGTAATCAAACTACCTAGTGAACTCGATAAATTGCAGTCAATTAAAAGTTAAATTGAATGCTTAACTTTTTCTTAAAATTCAAGAGTTCGATTGGTGTTACAAAAAGAAAACTTGTACTTCTCCGAATAAACTTCTTCTGTCAACACTTGAATATCAAAATACTTTGTAAGAGTAGTTAACACTATTATAATAGAATGACAATAAGAATCAACAAATTCTTTATTATTCCACATGCAAACTTTTGTCAGTAATTTTTCTTATTCGATCATGTTTCTATTGTTATTATTTAGTGTTCAGATAATATTGGATTTGGATAACAACAGATCAAATAAACAATATATTAAGATAGGTTTGGTCTTCTTATTTTTACTCTTATCATGGTCATCCGAATGTTCATTCCTCTTGTGATAATTAAATTATCTGGTAATGATGCATGATTTAAACATAAAACAGATCCCGAACAAAGCTTTCTATGGCAATAGTCTGATGTTGGTGATAAAATATATCAGATTGATCTTCTGAAGACTTTCATGTATCAAGACTACGCATACCCAAACAAATCACTGTCACAACATTATCAATAAGTTTATGTTTATATTCACCATTTTCTAAGCATTGATATTGGTCAATTGAAAATTGAAGTTCATTTTGATTTTATTTAGGAACGTTTTTTTTTTCTATAAAATAATTCTACGTGTTACTATAATTAAACAAATGATTGTTGCAATTCAGAAAAATATACTTATTTTCAAATGTTAAAGAATATAGTCGGAAGGCTATATGATATTACTTGTGATTGCTATAGTCTGGAGTCGTAAAATTAACTATTGTATTTTGAAGATGGACAACGTTACCCATCATGATAGAAGTATTGAAGGAAATTTTCGTTTACTATTTAGGTACTTCTATTTCCGACCAAGAGACGAAATATGTTTGTATTTTCCTATAGATGGCGCTATCAATCAATCATATCTATACTTTCTTGTTTGTTTTGTACATTAAAAACTATTTATATAAAAAAAAAAATATTTTATAAATTTTTATTATTTTTCATTAATTATAAAACTAGATAAGTTAATATTCAATTTATGAATCATCTTCAGACGAACAAAACAAACATACATATCCATACGTTTTCTTTCATACACATGTCATGGAAAAAAAAAAACAAATCCAATATTATCAACATACGAGATGCCCTTTTTTTTTCTATTTGAGCTTTGATTATGCAGTGATATATTTCCATAGTAATGATCTATTTCTGCTATTCATTCATATCATAATCTACTGACCTTGATTATATATATTTATTATACTTTTAGAACAAAACATTGATTAAAATAAAATGACATCGTTAACAAGACGTAAACCACAATTACCATCAACGACAAGTGATGGTGGAATATATAATGAATCGGCTAGTAATAGTATATCTCAATTGAATCAAAATGATCGTGATAGAGATGATGAACGTGATAATGATGATGATAAAGAAACACGTCTTACACTTATGGAAGAAGTACTTTTACTTGGATTGAAAGATCGAGAAGTTTGTTGATAATTCTATTTGAAAATAAAAAAAGAATTTTCTAATTTTTGTTTTTTGTTTTTTACTATCTCAGGGTTATACATCATTTTGGAATGATTGTATATCATCAGGTTTACGTGGATGTATTTTAACTGAATTAGGTTTTCGTGGTCGTGTTGAATTAGAAAAAACTGGTGCACGTCGTAAAGCATTAGCTAATCGAAAAGTCATGTTACTTGATGATACAGCTACAGGTGATGTTTTACTTGATGAAGCTTTACGACATATTAAAGAAACACAACCACCAGAAACAGTACAAAGTTGGATTGAATATCTTAGTGGTATGTAAATGAAATGAATCGTTAGAAATATTTCTAAACTGATAAGTTGAATATAAAACGGATTTTATTTTTCATTGTAAGAGACTTTTCGGAAGGATAAAGACGTGCAAGAATGTTTTTTTTTTTTATAAAATTAATATGACAATACAATAAAACTTAATCAAAAATATTATAGATAGAATGATATTAAATTGTTCTAGAACTCGTAATCGGAATAGATACTTGAGTTTTCTAATGAAAAGATTAATACAAAACTTCTCTATGTAGTTTGCAGAAGTTTTTTTTTTTATCCAGATTTCCTCTTTCGCAAGAGTCCGACTCTCACGCTGAATAAAATATATATTTGATATAAAAACGTTAAAATAATAGCAAATTAAAAGTTAAATATCATAGATTACTTTAAAAAAATTCTTTTGTTAAGACATTCTTAATAAACACAATCACATAATTTTTAGTCTATATAGAATATTGTTTATTATGTATGTGTTTTTCAAGTAGCGTTTAGTCGACACAAATTTTAAAAATGAACATGTAAATCGTAAAGAATTTCTGGCAGAATGACATCCGTGTTTCTACTCTTCAATTCAGTAATCATAAAATTTTGTTCACAATTAAATTCTACATCTGACTGTATCAGAATAAATATAAGTCTTGCATTAGAAAACATGGTTTTCTAGAATGTGTCTCAAAAAATACCACTTGAGATTGGGTTAATGCCTTTTTCTTATGAATAACAGCAACAAACACTTTGGAAATAGAGAACGTGAAATTTTCTACCCATTGATACTAAATATTTTACTTTTAGTCTCGATTCCGATAAGCAAAAGTTTACAAAAATCGATTGTTTAGATGTCTATCTTTTTAAATTTTGTGCTGACAAAAAAACAAAGATTGTAGTCTGTGATTATTAAATGAAAAAAAAAAAAAAATTATTATTTCTATTAATTTTTTGTACTATTTTGTTTTTTTTTTTTCATTAGGTGAATGTTGGAATCCATTAAAATTAAAATATCAATTACGAAATGTTCGTGAACGTTTGGCAAAGAATCTTGTTGATAAGGGTATATGTAGTACTGAAAAACAAAATTTTTTTCTATTTGATATGACAACACATCCACTTAATGATAACGTACATAAAACAAAATTAATTAAAAAAATTCAAGATAGTGTTTTATCACGTTGGCCAAATGATCCACGTCGTATGGATAAACGTATATTAGCACTTATTTATTTGGCACATTCAAGTGGTAAGAATATTGAATAAGACAAATATCAAAATAATTTTTTTTTCTGTTTTTTTAAAAGATGTTCTTGAAAATGCATTCACTTCGTTATCAGATGAAGATTATGAAGTAGCCATGAAACATGTCCGTGAATTACTCGATCTTGATCCTGATCAAGAATCAAGCAAATATGAAACGAAAATGGAAATTATGTGGGCTGTCGTATCAGCATTTAATAAATAAGAAGAATTTCGATTTATTGCTCATCTATATCTCGCTTTCTCTTTTCTTTTTTCTTTTATTGCGATATTCCAATAATATATAACTGGGCAGTACTGTCGTTGTTCACACAAGAGGATTGACTTATTAATATTATTTTTTTTTTCTTTTGTTCTGGCTGCTATTTTCATTTTTTTCAAATAAAGTATACAAATACAAATATTCATTATCATTTTTCTTTTACAATAAATTGATTTTGTGTTTGGGTGAGGATTGAATTAATTCTAACAAAATGTACACTTGATAAATTACACATTTCTTTTTTTTTTTGTTTAACACAACAAAAAACAACTTTTGTTTTTCGTTTTTTGTTCGTTTGTGTTTTTTGTATGCGCAGGTTTATTATTCTATATCTCTATGCCTTTTTATTCCTGTGATATACATGCACGAGATGTATAAAATAAATAGAAATAAACGACACAAATCTTGCATTCTTCTAGTAAATATAATTATTCAATACTACTTGTTTCCTTTAGATCATATTTATTACTTTCGTCGTTTTTATTTTCACTATTTTTCTTTCCTTCTATTGCTGAGCAACACGTTTTTATGTATAAATAAAAAGGGAAACAAAACAATCCTGTTTATATGATGAATTGACGTCAATGAAAGGAAAAAAAAAAAAGGTGTTTTTCTTGTTTGATGTCTGGATGTTTTGTATGAATAATTTGAAGTGATCCTATCATCCTTTAATTAATGGAAATTTTGTTGTCGTCAATGCGTAAAAAAAAAACATAGACAAATGCTATGACAACTTGTGTGGTTTAAAGACTAAAACGAATGATAAAATATTCAACAGAGTAAACTAGTAGTGAGGGTAAGAACGAAAATGTTTTTCGTCGACTTCATGAAGAATAATATATGGAGAAAGAGCAATATATATATATACGTTATATACTTTCAGATGATAACCATATTACACTTGATGTCATATTAACAAAAAAAAAACATTGTATTTATTTTGTATAAATGGGTCATCTTCTTTCGTGTGCAGGTATTCGTTTGGGTACACGAATACATGAACCAGAATCAAATGAAATTCCAATTCATCACAAATGTCGTAATTGTGGTCAATACTGTGATCAATCGAAACCTTCTGATACATGTATTCATGCAAAATTTACACGTACTGGTACAAAAGAACAACCATTAATTATTCGACCAGTTGTACCAGATGATAAAGTACGTTGGTCATCATCATTTGATTATCATCCAATTGAATTTACATCAGAAAAAATTCGTACATCAACTAAAGAATATGTTGATCGTGATCCTCGACAAGATCCAAGTGTAGATATACCATGGAATTCTGATGATCGTTTATGTGATCGACGATCTTATCATGGACCTTATAAAATTATTGGACGTCTACCACAAAATCCATGTGGACGAACAGGAATTACTGGACGAGGACATCTTGGTAAATTTTAATACTCAAATAAAAATGAAGAGAAACTTTGTTTATATGTTTTAAAAAAATTTTCTTAGGTCATTTTGGTCCAAATCATGCTGCTGATCCAATTGTTACTCGATGGAAACGTGATAAAAATGGAAGAAAAATTTTTCATCCACATACTAAAAAAGGAATATTACAATTTGTTTGTATACTTCGAAAAGATACAAATGAATATGCTATACCAGGTGGTATGGTTGACAAAAAGGAAAGAATTACTGATACATTACAACGTGAATTTCATGAAGAAGTACTTAATTTTCCCAATAAAGATGAATCTAGTAAAGAAAATTTAATACGAATAGTAAAAAATATTTTTGAAAATGGTGGTACAAGAATTTATTGTGGTTATGTTGATGATCCAAGGTATAGAATACAAATGAATAGTCACTTATGATTAATTTTATTGATTTTTTTTTTTTTTTAGAAATACTGATAATAGTTGGATGGAAACAACAGGTAAGAATATTAGAAATAAATTGAGCATGATTTTGAGGGATATGGATGTGAGTGAAATAAAGATTAATTTGAAATCTTGATTTTATAAGAAATTTTCTTTGTTTTTCTTTTTTTAGCATATAATTTTCATGATGAAAATAATGAACATCTTGCATTAATCGATGTTCAAGCTGGTGATGACGCAACAAATGCATTTTGGCACGATCTTGATTCTCAAATGCCATTATTTGCAAGTCATGCTGACTTTCTTAGACGAGTTGCTCATTTACATAAGGCACATTGGTGACATAAAAATTAGGTTCTATATGTGTTTGGTATATGTATTGTTTTATTGTGATAGTTTTTTTTTCTTATATACATATAAGAAAAAAAAACCAAGAACAAATATGTTTAGTCATTTAATTGTTCTAAACAAGTCTTGTTTTGTTTCTAAATATTTTTAATGTGAGAATGGTTATGTAACTTTCTTTTTATGGTTTACCTTTATTCGTCTTAATGTGATAAATTAATGTTGATAGAAGCTTGACAATAGTTGAACTGTTTGAATTGTATTTTCTTAACTATTTTTAATATTTGATAGATAACAAATCAAAGTTGCAAACAGGTAAGTACAAAATCAAAAGTGATACAACTAAACTCACTGGGTGCTCTTTTTTCTATAAAATAAAATTGAATTTTAACTGTTTCGAACAAAATTTCGTGTCCTACAAAAACTATTAACTCTGCTTACAAAGGGTGTGGATAGATAAAGGTAAAAGGATAACTTTCAGCCACACCCGATCCTTCGTTTCTTCTATTTATATATTTTTTCTGTAGATTATTGTTGCTATTTTTCTGTGTTTATTTATTTATTTATTTATGGTATTCAATAAATTTATTCTATATTATTTACATCATATGAATTATCTGTTTTCTCCGTAAAACCAATATGTTTAATGTTGTAATCTTATGTTTCTATACACTTAGTGTACATCATAAATGCTGACGAAAAATAATAATGAAATTTCGATACGAACTGTTTGTTATCATATGTGATGGTAATATCAGATTACATTTTGTCTTCGATTTATATCCTCTTTGTTTTTCTTCTTTCTTTTTTTTTGCTTGTCTCTTCTAATACCTAGCTGCCTACACATATTAGAATATGTAAAAAATAGTGTCGATAGAATAGCAAAGAAGCACATAAATGAGTTCATCCATATTTTTACTTCAGTAATTGTTCAGTAGTGATTGTTCGACTTAATCAAACGAAATCTAAGTAAACAAAACAATTTCAAATCGTTGTATCTGGTTGTGAACAACTTCATGCATTGTTTGAATAACGAAGAATATTAAAAAAATGGTACGATAAGTCAATTCAACGAATGAACTTGTGTATCAATCATTAGAATGATTATTTCAAATATTTAATGAAACAATAACTCGATGAACTTATTTATGTATGTTTGTTTAGTTCTATCGACATCACTGTTTTAAGAGCCAAATAAGGTATAGACGGGTATACTTTTTAGAAGACTAGAAAAAACAAAGAAGAAAGACAAAGGTGATGCACATCAAAGACTAAATGTGATCTAATACTACTTTGATATATCATTATAAACAGCTCATTGACATTTTATACGCTACTCTCAATTAAGAATTTAATTGGCAAAAATTCATTGCACGAGAAAGATCTTCGAATCAGTCCTAAACTAAGTTATGAACAGATTTCGATAAGATAGTTTGTTAATTAAATGATCATTTGACATTTATTTCATTGAACTTAATAGAATGCTTTGTCGCACGTTCTCTATCATTGACACTAAGTTTGATACCAGTCAAACGATCATCTGTATATTCATCAAGACGAAATTCAAGAGTTGAATGATGCAAGCTGATAGATTGCGAAGCTTTCTATGCTCCCATATCCGTATGTGCACCTATGATATATTGGTAGAACAAATACGTTAAGGCTCACTTCTTAAAAAAGTCACTTTTCGCCATAATCATTGAAATTGAGATAAATACATGGAGAAATAGCCTCTCATCTGCTCTCTCATATGCGATAATAATTTTTATTCGACATCTCTTTTTTCCAAAAATTTTGGATGATTTTTCTCATCGCCTATTCGAAAAACAAACCGTTTTAACAAAAAAACCGAAAATCATTTTTCATTTTTTAGAGCGTAGGTTCAAGGACGTATCTCCAGTAGAACTCTCGCACAGTAAGAGATACAGTCAAATATTTTTTTTGTTTGAAAGCTTGTATTCAGGGTTAGCGACTCTCGTGGCCCTTTTTGTAAAATAAGCTTCTTTATCATCATAAAGGATAACACGTCTATCGGAACAGCACAATTTTTAGAGAGGTTTTTTTGAGTCATTGAACTTTCGCTCCGTTTTTTTCCCTTAAAAAGTAAGACTTTAGAAAAAAGCTCACGAGAACCGCTCCATCCTGACATACTCTTTAAAACAAAAAAAATTAAATGTCTAGAATGAAGACACACAGAGAAAACTTAGAGGTACGATAGAGCTATTTTTGGTCCATCATTGGTAAATATCTCTGTTGAACGTCGTGCTATAGAGCTTAAAATTTTGTCATAGCTATGGCTCACCAGCTTCAACATGTCGATTTTTAAGGGGGGTCTTAAGAATTACATATTAACCAGACATGAGCACAGGACACCTTTTTCTGTTCTATCCTGCCCTGATCGCTACCTGTGTCTTGGTGGGCAGCAGAACAGAACGAAAATTAATACTTTGTTCTGTCCTGTACTCATCTCTGACACTTACGTTAGATTTTTATTGCTGGGCGCATTATACTTTTTCATAAACATATTACATGTACGTATCTAGCTCATATTTTGGTCATTTGTAAACTGTATTAGACAAGTGTCCATTTTTTATGGCTTAAATACTTTTCAACATGCGTTTGACTTAATCAGATGATTAACTCGTTAACTGTTATTTGTTTTTTGAAACTATGGTAAACTTTTTTCAAAAAAAGCTTTGAGCAGTTCATAGATTTTTATGGATTATAAGATAGAGAACTTCTACGACGAAGAGATTCATTTTC